CAGGTGTGGATAAAGGAAGAAAGATCCCGATTTGAATTTGAATATAGTCAATCGCACGTGGCTTAAATGATGCTGTCAGAACATTAGCTGTGGGCATCTCATAATACCGACAGGGGCACAATAGCTCAAATGCTATATTGGGCTCGTGAAAAATGACAGATTTGTCAAAGCACCATTTCTGTAAATAACGCAACAGCCAAATGTTGTTTGTGGAACAATCTGTGCAGGGAAATAAAACAAAAATGGATGTTTGGATGTGATAAGAGACAGCATTCCATGTGACAGAATAATGGACATCATATTGTGGAAGTGCTCAGTGGTCATTTAGTGATTATGTGACAGGAGGACTATTGATATATATTGGTAATTCACATAGCCTACTGCAGGTCAGTAACACGACTGATCATTTCTGCATTGATTCCATTGATTCTTTCATCTTTTCAGCCAGATTTGATTTGCTTGAAAACTGAAAAGACTAAAATGGTGTTTTTAATTCATTATTTTTTTTCCAATTATTCTTATGGACACTGTAAACCATTATATGATCAACAAGGTATGACAACATATGTTTTTACATTGCTTTAACGCATCAAAATAAGTTAAGCAATTTTCAACTTTTTTTCTATAAGTTATAGGCTACTAGTTATACAAGAAACTCGTTTTATAAGTCAGTTTAATGTAATTTAAGTTGAAATGACTTAAACAGCCAAGTTGATTGTACTTAAAATCTCAAGGGATATTTTTTTTAGAAATATGTGATTTATAATAAGAAACTGTTCTTAAATCAGCACAGGCTATAACATGAAGCACTTTAAATTTTGAAGAGGTAAACTAGTATCACTAGTTACTGATTTCAGAACAGTTTTAGCACTTAGGCCTTTATCAGGGGGGAAATAAGTGAAAATAAATGCTTTAAATGCAAAGTTCACATTTAAAATCAACCAATGAGGTATACTTAAAAAATAAAAAATTTAAGTTAGGAAAAAAATAAGATCAGAATAATCAGGAATGTGTAACATCTACCAATTAAAACAGAATATGGTGGGCTGGTGGACCAGCCAACCATAAATTTGATTGTACTTTATTCGATAACACTTTATTTTAAGATGACGTAGTTACAGGCCTACTTACTATAGTAATAACAGTAAATTATGCATAATTACAAGTAACTAACCCTAAACCAAACCCTTACCCTATATCCGTAACTCTATAGTAAGTGCATGTAGTTTATTTGAGTAAGTACTATGTAACTACGTCACCTTAAAATAAAGTGTAACCCTTAAACCTCTTCACAATGGCAAGAAAGGGTTGCCATTTTGGATAGTGGGTACATTTGTACCCTTCTAAATGACAAAACAGGTGTTTTTCAGTGAAAGATAATTTGTAAAATCTGTTGAGTTTTGAATAGTGATCATCCAGGGCCTGGTGTGGAAAGAAACTTTTACAATCATTTATAGGAACCGGAACACTGCTTTGAAAATCGACAACATGATGAGACTCCATTCTTTATTATTTCAACCTCCATTAAAACCGTTTCTTAAACATGAAGTATTATCTCTCTAATTATCCATTTAAAGATCTGAGCAGATATTTTCTAACTCCATTGTCAAATTGGCCATTTTAGGCAATGTTTGGCACATTACATTTTTCTCTCTAATTGCTAAATGCACAGGCTCTAATTGGACAGATCTGTGTTGTGCACTTAGTCTAGTCTTTAAAAAGGGTCTTCAGTTCAGACGTCTTTCTCCACTGTTTTTGAAGACTTAATGGATTTCCAGAGACATTAGATTTAACTTAATAATGGCGAGGGTTGCGGCATTAATAAAGCGTGCCTTCAAAACCACCGAATGCAAATGTGTATATTTAAATATCCTCTTGATGTGTGTCTCTTTTAAAGTTACATTTCAATTTCATTGCATCAAACCCGACAACCGTGTCTCTGTTTATGTCACAAGCAACATGAATATGCATATGGTGAATGCTAATATTCATAAGCGTATGAAATTGATGCCTCGTCTCAAGGCAGCGGTGTATTTATTATGCAGAGGATTTTATGGCTGATCTACACGCCGAAATGTACATGAATAGATTTTTTTTGGTGTGATCAGACAAATAAAGGTGTTAAAAATGTTTTGAGCTAATTCTGCAGTTCATAATGCATTTCTAACAAGTAAATGAGAAGCTAATAAAAGGTCTAATGAGGTTCTCAGTGTTCTTTAATGAACCAGTAAATGTTTGGCCTCATAATAACAATACCCCTAAATGGTTTTTAAGGCTTATATGCTATGAAACACTTGTGTAGATATTTAAAACCTTGCTCCGAACAGTAATTTCCTGTTCAATTATGCCAAATCTCAATGAGCAATGATCTTATAAAAAAATAAAAAATAAAAAAAAAACAGATCTGACATGGCTCTTTATTGTAATGGCAACATGCCCTTTCAGGTGGTCAGTTTAATTGTTATTTTGTGCTTTCTTCCACAATGAAAGGCAACTGTGCTGAATAAACTGTTTTGCCCACCATTATGCTTATCAAATCCTATTATGAAATTATGTCATTTCGATTATCTTAAATACCCTGTAAAATGTTCTGCCAAAGCCTATCAGAAATTTAATTACATATTGAATTACAATGAAATGGAACGGCAGTGGTGATGCATATTTGAACTTAACAGAAATGACATTTCAGGCTAAGTGCAGGAGGAGCTTGATTTCAGCTGATAATGATTATTATTAATACTTGTAATGTCAATAAAGATTGAAAACAATGAGCATCTTTGACACGTTGTTTATTTTATTTTTTCCGGTGGTCTTGTCTTGCTCAAAGCTCGAGAGAGAATAAACTGAGAGGGGAGAGAGATGTTTCGTTTTCTGGGTTGTGCCCCACAGGTACCCATGTGTCAGTTTACCAACAAGCAGCCCGCTAGGCAGTGAGGTGAGACAGCGGGTTCACTTGTCAGTCAAGAGCATCTCAGTCTCTCTCCTCTGGACACTGGCTTTATGTGGGCTCTTTACTTCAAGAGTTCTGACTGTTGTTCAGAAGCTATCTTTAGCAGGAGAGGTGAGAAGAGGAAATATGAATTGGTATATAGGTGTATAGAGAACTAAAAAAAAAAAGGAAAAAGGAAGAATGATGAGGTGTCTTTGGGCCATGGAGCCTCTCTCAAACAAGGCTGCAGGAAATAAACAGCAATCACTGTAGCATGACTGAAAATCCACTGAGCAGGCAGCCTTAATTGAGCCCCTCTCTCTCTCTCTCTCTCTCTCTCTCTCTTTCCTTCCTTTTTTTTCGGACTCTCTTCGCCCTCTCCATGGATAATAAGCACAAGATCCCTTAACCTTTTTGTGCGTTTTAAAGACCATTAATTGATGTGTAAAACTGCATTTTGCAGAAGTCAAGGGGCCCACAGACCCTCAGGCGGTGTGTGATAGCTCAGATATTTCGGGTTTAAAATCTGTATTCTGTATAATCACTATATATGAGTATACACAGCAGTGGAAAGCAATAATATTTGAATGCGTGCTTTAGAATGTGACTACAAATATTATGATGTGCTTATGATTTATGATGTGCTTAGTTTAAGGCCTGTTTTCTTTGGTCAGCGAGGTATTTATTTCTGAGAGATTTGATCCATTTGTATTGCATGCTTATTACATTTTGTACAGTATTTGTGTGTAATGTTATATGATGAGTGCATGATACACTTTTAAAAAAATAAAGAAAAGGGGGTTGCCTTGCCATAGAATAACTATTTTTGGTTCCCCAGTACCTTTCAGTGAACAGTTCTTAAAATATATATTTTTCTTACTGTGCAGAACATTGTAATAATCTAAAGAATCTTTTTCCAGTATAAAGAACCTTTTGTGGAATGGAAAGACTGTTAAAGGCTCTTCAAGGAACCATATAAATGCCCATTTATTTTTGGCATGTTTACAAATGTGAATTCTCATTCTAATAATTAGTTGCAAAGGAGATGACAATTTTTTTTTTATATATTTCAGACCGTCACTGCCCATTGTAATCCCTGTAGATTTGGGAAAAAAATTACGCTCACCACTGATTTCATCAAACAAGTATGTCAGGAAATTAATTTACGCCCTACTTGCTTTTTGGACATGTTCGAGCAACTCAAAACAAATTGAAGGTAAGTTATGAATTCTCTATGGGGAAAAGGTATTCAAATTAATCGGTGCTTATTAATATTATCTGTGATGCAATGTTTCTCTGTCCTAGGGTGCAATAAAAAAAATTAGGCCAAGCATCTTGATTCTTCCAAATCCTTTCAGTTAAAAGATATAATCTGTTACTATAAAGGTACAACTAATACTCCAAGGAATTACATTGTAATTTAAAAAAACAAAAACTTTTTAGGCTATTTGTAAGCAAAAATTCTCTAACTCGCAGCCTATTTTTCACATTTCTTAATTGAAATTTACGCATTTCTTAAATCTCTAAAAAACAAGAAAAGTGACAGATTCTTGATATATTATGATTATTTTTCTGGTAATGTCACTGATGCATAATGTTTTCCTCTGTATGTGTTTATCGTATTATCTTTTTTTCTTTTTATACTTTCTTTGTGAAACTTTAAATAAAGCTTTGATGTAATTTCATTCCTGTAGTAGAGGTTCTATCTATTCTGACTTTTAAAAAAAAATCTGTTTATTGTTTGATGCATTATAATAATAATAAAAAAATAGGCCAACTAAAAGAAAAAGATCACTGAACTTTGCTAATCCTACTCTGGAACTGGAATATTATTTTATACACATATTCAGATGTGTATCACTCAGATAGACTGTCTTTAGCATTGTTTACATTCACTTCTCATTCGGTAGACTTTCAGCTGCCGCTACGCTTGTGTGTGTATACTGTGATGTGACAATAAAAGCGATGCGATTTGATCTGATCCCCATGCTCTGAGCCCGGGTGGGCGGGGCCATGCTAATGACGTCAATGGAATGGGTGAGGTGACGAGCCCCTTCTGCGCTCCGCCCCGTGTGGGTGACGGGAGGGGGAGGGAGCCAGGCAGAGCTGATCCCACGTGTGACGCTCACATTCCCGGCTCAGTAATATTCTCTTAGCTCTGACAGTGTGTGTGTTAGTTACTGGCCATAGTTGGGTTAGCCATGGAGGGAGACGGGAGCCAAGCCACATCTGGAAGCCCTAACGATTCGCAACACGACCCGGGGTAAGCCAGAACCAATGCTGACAGCACTTGACTTTTTTTCTTGTGTGTTTTTCTCCGGCGAGCATGTTTTAAAAAGGCTCTTCCGGGTGCACGCAACTACTACACCTTTGTTTGATGTATATTAGTGAGCACAGCCCGCCGGGGCTCAGTAAACACACACCGCTCTGCTTTGCCTTCGTTTAGCTCTGCTTTTTTTGTCGCTAGCTACACGTCAAAATGGCCGATCTGACATCTGGACTCACTTCTGCTGTGTTTTCCCCTTACAGTAAAATGTTTATCGGTGGCCTCAGCTGGCAAACTTCACCAGGTAAGAGACCGATGGTTCGCTGTCATTTGCGCGCGTTTGTCGGGCTGTGTGTTGTGTTTCTTTCATTGTATCCAGCGTGGCGCGCGCTGTGCGGGATATGTGCCGTCATTTGAAGTCCTCTATTCGACCCCTGTTAGACATCCAGGGGGGCGTTTAATTTACAAACTGGTGTGTTTTGCACGAATGCATTGCTTATATGTGCTCTTTTCTTTCTGTTTTGTTCCACAGACAGCCTTAGAGACTATTTTAGTAAATTTGGAGAAATCAGAGAATGTATGGTGATGAGAGATCCCACGACAAAACGCTCCAGGTAAAAAACAAACAAACAACAATGTTGTGTTTTTAAAATCCCTGTCACTTTGAGGTTTTTATTTTGAGAAATGAACTGTCGATTTTGCCCGTGCGCTGTTATTCGGCTGCTATGCGCTTTTGAAAAGACTGGATCGGTGTGTTTCTGGATAGGATACAGTTTGACATTGATTTGGAATTCTTCGTGTTAAAGCAGCAACCGGCTTTAATACACGAGCGGTTAATGCGGTCGCATGTGTTTTGATTTGACATTGGCACGTTATGGCTTTTCCCCACTTGTCGTTCTTAACCCCGGGTTATTTTGTTTCGTGTTTCACCCTGCTTATACTTTACCCTGGGTTAGTAATTAATCCTGCGCTGTGTCATATTGTGGGATTTGATACTATACGCTATAGCGTCACGTTTATTGGACACTTACAGCACGCAGGACCTGTTTTGATATCTGTGGAAATGTCGCCACATAGATTCCATCTAGTTGGAAACGTACTGAAAAAATCCTTTCTCTTCATCGCTACAGTTAAAAAAACAATTGCTTTCCTCAAACATCGGAATTAAACAGCGCGTGAAAGTTTCTGCGAATGTACAATGCGTATGATGAATATTCAATGATGTAAGCGCCAAAGTGGTTTATGATTGGTTGTCTATTGCTAAACAATTTGGATATATGTAGCAGATTTTCAAAACCGATGCTAATAACCACATTTAAAATGACAAGTTTGAAACGATTCTTAACCTCAGGTAAGGTTAAAATCGGCCTTTACCCGTGGTTTAAAAATGCATTAACCCAAGATTAACTGTGGTGTGAAAAGTCCTTAAGTGTCCTTGACTGACACGTTATGGAAACCGTTTATCTAAATTGTTTCGTCAACCAAGTTCTTGTTAAATAATACAATAGGATGAGCATATTAAACGGATATTTCACACGGAAATTCTGTCATTGTTTGTTCTGTGAGACAAAGGAATTGTTGGGGACTGACAGTTTCAGTCACCATTCACTTTCATTTGCATCTTTTTTTCATACATGGAATAGTGAATGGTGACTGAGGCTGTCATTCTACACATTCTTTTGTGTTCCTCAGACGAATGAAAGGGTTCCTCATACAGGTTAGGAATGACATGATGGTTAGAAAATGATGACCGTTTTTTTATGTGCACTGCTGTACTCTTGTCCTTGATTCATTGTATATTTCTAAGGTAACATGTTATTGTAAACGTTATAGATACAGAAGTTCTCGAAGCGTTCAATAATAGAACCAAATGGATGTGTTAACAAGCTTAGCAGTCAAACACGTGTAACCCATGTCAGCTCCTAATGTATGTCTGTGTTTTTGTTTGTTTTGTTTTCCAGGGGATTTGGCTTCGTTACGTTTGCTGATGCGGCCAGTGTAGATAAGGTCCTAGCTCAACCTCACCACGAATTAGACTCAAAGACGGTATGTTCTCTTCTATTTGCATTTATTTTTTGTGAAGTGCTGCTTAAACATGCTTGTGTCTGTGACATTCAGTGGTGAAAAGACACGCAGTCTCCTATCATATCTCTTCCCGGGTCGAGGTACTCCGCAGCATTTGTCATTGTACCACACACACAACAGCGGGGCACTTGACATAAATAAGTAGCCGGATAATTAGTCATGTCTTTCTCACATGCCTCAACGGGATTTAACTCCTTGCTTGCCAGACCAGGACTGGGGAACAAGGGGTTGAACCCCATTAAGGTTTGTGGGTATGAAGGGACTAATTACCTGCTGTGTAGTTCGATTGTGACACCAGCCGTGATCCATGTCTATTGTGACGTAAGACTTGTAGTGACGTAGTGTTTTGCACTCTTCTTCATGACGGAATTTTCCAGACAGATCTCCGGAAGTTGCTCAGGGGAAGGTTGCATGCATGAGTTCATTCTAAACCTTGCTGACTAGAAATGTTTATGTGCATGTGACAATATTTACATAGTAAAATAATTTAATTTCTTTGTTTTGTTTTTACTTTCAAAGTATTTCTAGAGTTATGTGGATATTTTGTCATTTGTGGTGCAGGTTAGTGTGTGCACTGGTGTACCCTTTCCATTATTATACATTTAATTATTCTAAATTCAACTTATTTCTTAATGTGTCGTTAATTATTGATTTGAAAAATTTGTATTTAAAAAAAAAAAAAAAATCTTATTTTTCTTTCAGTTGTTTTTTGACAGTTTTCTAATTTTTATGTCCACTGCTGTACTCTTGTCCTTGACGCACTGTATATTTCTAAGGTAACATGTTATTGTAAATGTTACAGATATAAAAGTTCTTGAAGCGTTCAATAATAGAACAGTTATTTATCTTTCAGTTGTTTTATTCATGCCCATTTTGGTGTTGTTTCGACATTAAAAGGTGCTTGAAACATGAAAACCTGAAATAAACCTACATTTTAGAATATGTAGTGTAATTTTTGTTGTAAATTTTTTTAAATAAAGATTCTAATTTTTAAAAAAGATTTTGAAGTGTCTTTTTATATTAGTATTTTATATTCATTATATAGCATTGGATTCTTATAAAACAGTATTTAGGAGTTGAAGTAATATATTTATTTATGTTATTTACATTATTTTACATTGCCCATGCAGACTGAGTCATATGTATATTTCTGTCAGCAAGAAATAGGTTTACCTTATTCAGCCTCACCTGTTTGATTACCTAAATCCAAGCAGAAATGCATTTAGTTTTGCATGTGACACCAAACCCCAGGATAAGCAGACGCTCTATCAGTAAAGTGATACTGATAGAGCGTCTGCTTAGACCGTCCCCCACCCCCCCCCCCCCCCCCCCTAATAAAGTCACCATCTTTCCTGGTTGTAGATGCAGCTGCTAGTTACCTGTAGGAGTCCAGAGTGAAAGAGCCTTTTATTTGGGATAGCTAGGGTGTGGACAAATACCGCCTTCACTGGCTTATTTTAATGGATGCCATGTTGCTGCAAGTTCATATCAAGAGACGGACTGTATTTAAAGGTGTTCACAGAGGTTCATAACTTCCCTCAGGAATTTTGTGGCTAATACTTTTCTCCCAGAACACTACATATTGGCATTCCCAGTGCCTTCCATTTAAAAAAATGTGTAATTCTGTGATAAGATGGGTATTAGAATTGTTTGTCTGTTCCTATAGTTGAGTAGGAAAACTTTGTTGTAAATGTTTTTTTTAAACATAGACCCTTTCAAATATAATGTAAAATTAAGAGAGGAAAAAAATCTTATTTTGACATTGAAAACTTTTGTATCATTGGTTTAAGAATAATAATGTGTATGCGTAAAGATGTAAAAACCAAACTGAGGTTATGAGTTTCAAGTTTTGCTGATTAGATCAGGTGGCTAATTTAGTCAATAGCAGATTAACCTGTTGAACTGTTTATTACCCACCTAAAGCCGCAGATATATTACTGTTGATGGTTTCCTTAAATCCAGCAATTGTGCAAATGTTAATTTTCAATCATAATTTAGCACAGCAGGTGAATATTCACCACCTCTCTTGGTTCCGTGCCCTAAATGTGTTTAGAAATACAGGTGTGCTATTCATTATCTCACTCTCTGCCAGTTTGGCCTTGACTGATGTAAGCTGAAATGCCTTTAGGAGGCAAAACATTTCTATCTTGTTAATAAAATAATAGTACATTTTATATGTTAGTGTTGCACCAGTCCAAAAACATGTAATTTGGACATGAAAAATGGGCCGTTTAGATTACATAATCACACACACATGGGTAACTCTAGTATTCTTTGTAAAAACTGGGTCAAGGTTTGACGTTTCAAATGCTCTTGAATGGCTGAGGGAAGAAAAAAAAGAAAGCTAGTGTTAGCAACGATTGAGATCATGTGGACACAGTAGCGGCTGGTGCTAAAGCAGGGATTACTGAGCTGTGGGTAGTGATGTCATCGTCAGGGTTGGGGCGGTCGTGTCATGACTCTGAGGCTTCAGCTCCAACTGGAGACCTGGAGCTGTGAGGAAGTTGCACTGGTGGAGGTTTAAGAACAAATTCAAATTGCCCTCGCAGTTGAAAGATCTTGCTTTTGATATCGACAATGGAAGAAATATTACTGTTACTAGTACTGATACTACTGAAGAAGTATCACTGCTTTATAAAATATCAAGGCATGACCTTTTAAGTCATCAACACCCGTTTTCCTCGGCCTTGTGTTTCCTAGGATTGTCCCCATGAATATTTTTGCATGTTTTTTTTTTTTGCATATGTTTTTAATAAATGAAAAAACAAACAAACACCCAAATGACAAATAAATACAACAAATAAATATATAATACCAAAATGGATATTCAGTTATTTTTAAAAAGTTTTTATTAATTTGCATTTCATATGGGTGTTATATTACAGATTGACAATGTTTGAGTACTTAAAGTGTGTATATATATATATATATATATATATATATATATATATATATATACATATACAGCTTTAACAGTGTGTGTGTGTATATATATATATATATAATGTGTGTGTGTATATAATATATATATGTATGTATATATGTGTATATATATATATATATATATATATATATATATATATATATATATATATATATATTTATTAAAATAATTTGCTCATTTAGAATTTTTTTTTTTTGATTTTTTTTTTTTTTTTAGAAAGTAACTGTAGTGTCATCCTTCAGGCCAGAAAAACATTTTTATTGCATTGTCTATTTTTATTTATTTATTTAGTTTTTACTTTTTTTTGCAGTTTCCTTTCCAATCTTTTTGTCACTTTTGAAGAGTGTAAATGGACCAAAGAAAACACGAACAGGGATATTCTTGACACACTTGTTTCACATTTGATTAAAAGCTGTGTAATCTGCAAATCTGAAGGCCTGGGGTGAGAATTGCATTGTGTATTGACAACTGAGAGACTGCTGTCGGTTTCTCTAAAAGCAATCTGTTTTAGATTAAACACTTTTCTGGATGAATTAAGTATAACACAACAGCATCATTTCCCACCAGAAAGGTTTTTTAATTTTTAATTTTTTTTTGCAGTACATATTGCAATTCTGTTCAGGTCAAATTCATTTACCAGGAGACCCTCTCCTTCATATTTCACCAAAACATGTTTATTACTTTTCTTTTTTCTTTTTGCATGCTGCCACATTTTCAACACAATTCAGCTTTTCTTTCTCTTATTATTATAAGAAGTGACAAAGCATTCAGACGTGCGGTATATTCAAGAGCAATATAGCACTAATGGATCTTTTTCCCTCGAGTTATTTTTCCATTTAATGAGAGTGCAGAAGCAAGTCTTTGAACTGTTTTTGTTCTCGCATGCATGATTATCTACCGTCCTATCCTTCTAGTGCTCTGGCTGCCCAAGCTTTCGGCCTATGTGCTAAAAAGAGGGACTGTTGTTGTAGTCTATGAATGTTTAAATGACCAAAGCCAACATCTTGCTCAACAGCAGGCCAGCCTGGATCTCACTTATTTTGCTATGAAAAATCTATATTTTTTTTATTTGTGAATATAGATTTATGTATATTTATTTGGAATGTGAATAAGTGATGTTCGCTAATATAAATGAAGTCTAACAAGTCAGCTAGTGGAAATAAATAATGCCAGTTTGTCATAATCTCTTAAAATGTCTTTTTAGCATTAGAATCATCCATATTTTGCAGTATGTAAAGTGTATAACGATTCAAAGATCGATAGGAGAAAAAATGTCTTGATTGCAATTGGCGTATTTATGTTGTTGATTTATCCTCCGGGGGAATCTGTTATTATTAATATCCAGGATGAATCGTTCCGCTGGTTCAGAACCCCTAGCGGTTTATGTAAATTACAAATGCTCTTGATCATGATGTGTGCAAAACTGCATTTCGCTTGTAATATAATAAAATCAAATAACATAGCTTATCTAACCAATAAACCTAATGATGTCCTATCACATGGCAAAATGCATTCTAGGCAGAGCTGTAACCCCTCGCGCAGTGCGGTACAGCGGCCGAGAGAGTCACCCATAATAATGATAATCCCTCAGGGGGGAAGGAGGTTGTGGACGTATTGATCTAATGCCCTGTCTTGATTCTCCGCAAATCTACAGCTCTCGCTAAAACAGCTCCCGTCATGTGGGCCTGACCTCCCCCGAGGCCAGCGCACTTCTTCAGCGAGTCTTTGAATTATCTCCGGTGTTATATAAAGCCACCTGTTTATTTATGTTGTAATCGAGTAATTATGCTCTAACCTCTGTAAGGTTTTTATTCGATTTTGTCATACACGGGCCTCATGCAACCAGCATGTAATAACTAGGCGAGATTACACACGAGACATGGAGCATTGCATCATGATTAATGCTATAATTTCCATGAAGGTTATCGAGTAGTCGTCGCAGCACATTGCTGGCTTTTTCTAATATTTTCAAATTTTCCTCTTCATGTATCAGCATCATCAGCTCAGTTTTCTCATATTTCCTTCTCTCCTTTTTTGTCTCATTTAGATTGATCCTAAAGTTGCCTTTCCAAGACGCGCTCAACCCAAGGTAAGAGCTGTTTGCTTTTGCTCTCTCATGCCGAGCCACTTTACATTTGCAAGTCTGCTGTGTATTTGTTAATAGTGTGAGAGGGCCAATGTTTTTTTCTGAATTTGGCCTTCGATAGAGCAAAGCTGAGTTAGAGTTGAAGCTGTGATGTTACGTTATGGACCGTTGCAGTCTGGCTGGTGTTATTTTCCAGGCTAACTATGACTTCTCTGTGTCATAGTACAAGGAGAGACTGTTTAATTGTTGTTTCAAATGTGAGGAATTCAGATTTTTTTTAATTAGCATGGCTGGGTACGACGAACCCGTAGAACTATCACGGAGAAAATATTGAATTATCGCTGCCTTGTCGAGCGTGAAGGTTGAGTTTTTTTGTTAAGGTGGGGTGGTGATTAACTTGCCTTTTTTAGCATCGCTGCTTGCATGTAAGATCATTAGAGAGGAATCTTTTATAAAAAAGGAAGAAAAAAAAAAAAACTAGAGGAGAATTTTGCCCTCAGCTGTGGAATTCGGAGCATTAAATCCCTCATTTGAATCTTGTCTCAACAAGAATTTTTTTCTTTGTACAGCTGAATATGTGTGTGTGTTTTTATGGTATCTAATGTCCTGCTTCTGGAAGCCATGTTGGCAACGAACTTCCGACAGCCTCTTCGCTTCAGACTGCACTGTCAGCCAGATGGTCTGTGCCCCAGATTTTGTGTCTGCCGTGCAGCCGTTGCTTGGCCTCTCAGGCAGAGCTGGGACGGCCCCCCTGGCTCCGCTATGGGCCACCAGCATTTTTTACCCAAGAGGAAAGGTGTACCGATCTGAGATCAGCTTAGGTGTATTATTTTCGAACGAATGCAGAGCAGGATGGCAGACGGTCCTTGATCAGAGCAGGCCCGGTTGGAGGGCTCGTGGGGTGACAGGTGTCCATTGCACACTTGTCTGGCTAATTGATATAAAGAACTTTTTCGCTTCATCCAGGGCTCATTGGAGGAGAAAAGGTGCACTCTTTTTCTCGCTCTTGCGCACATACGCATGCCAGCGAGGCCGGTCCAAATGCAGGCCGCAGGGCCCCGGGCCTAATGCTGTTTCTTGGCTCGGGTTAGTCACGGGATGAATAGGAGTATTAATACGGCCAGGCTCCAGTAGCAGTTAGACTGCAGCCCTGTGGATGATTGCTCAGAGCCAGGCACATTGGCAAATAATACCTTTAATGCAAATACATTATTATTTCCAACCATGTCCTGTCAATGGGATAGGCATTATTGCGCCATTGGAAGTTGCCAGTAGTTACTGCGATTCAGATTCAGATTCCGACTCTACCCTTAGATTTAAGCACAAACCAGCAGTATAAAGATGAAGATACAAATAGAAAACTAAGGAAACAAAAGCTCAGACCTCCTTTTTTTTAATCTCCCGACAAAAGCACTAAAAGTGGGGATTTGTTTTTGCACTGATTGTGTTAAACAGCGCAGAAGTTTACCACAGGCGGAGGGCGAGATTGCTTTTTCGCCCTATTTTTGATTGGGCTTGTTGCTTCACACTACTTTTCCCCAACATGGCTCTGCATGTCCTGACAAGATTTTAATTGATATTGGGATTGAGGCCACTTTTGGAAGCGAATGGATTTTCGCAGGTCTGATATCGCCCTCCGAGAAAACTGTTATTTTCATCAACCCTAAGTCTGCATAAGCCTTCCAATCAAGTTACTGATGCTTCACCAGCTGTAGTGCGGTTTTAACAAGCCTCTAGGTGCATTAATGCGATGGACAATCATCTGTATGTGATGGGCCATTTGTTTGCTGCTGATTCTTGTCCTTTCTCATTGATCATGTTTGGAGGCCGCTCCATCTCCAGTTGCTAATTTAGTGGACTCGTATTTATCTTCAAGACACTTGTGAATGAAGAATTGCCTTTCCGAATAATTGATTTCAAAGCTGTTTATGTCCTTCAATAGGTTCACAGTTTAGAGGAAAATTCAGTCACATTGGGTGAATATAACTAGGTGACAGTGTTGGGGATACTATAGCTTGTCAAATTACTTTATTTAAAAAACTTAAATTATACAGTCAAGTTTTTTTTTTTTTTTTTTTTTAAATCTATAGAGGTCGACTGATAGTGGATTTTACCAATAACGATAACTAGGTGGTTGGACCACGCTGGCCAATAACCGATTAATCAACTGTAACATTTTTCTTCATCACCGACTCCATCTCTGCTCGCAAAATGATAGAAAAAAGATTCTCATTTCCCGTGATAATAAAACAAAGTAATTAAATAAATTAGTAAATAAGTAGCTAAATAAATATGTAAATCAATGATTAAATAAGCAAACTATTCCTATAAAAGTCACAGAATAATTTTACCTTTCAGACGAATCTCTTTACTGGGATTCTGCTTTTTCTATTATCAGTTATTCAATTATTCAACTAAATTGTAAAAAAATAACATTTTATATTGATTTTATGAATATTGATTTAGTATTTTACATATATATATATATATATATACAGTAATTAATACATTCTGTAAAAGTTTAGCCAGGGGTGCTTCTTACTCCAGCGGGCCCAGTAGTGGGGTAAGATGGCCTCTTTGAATAATTTTACATTTTGTTCTATAACAACTAAATTAGCAAATGTTTCTACTAATTCCTGTAAAAACATATTGGCTGATGCGTCATCATCTTGCACATGCTAAACTTATATCTTACAGATTAAAAGTAAATGCACATTGTTCTTAAGGGGGGCATCTTCACCCGTGTTACCCTACTACTTCATTTCTATTTTGTCAAAAGTATTGTCTGACTAGACTTAAGTCTTTTGGGACAGCTAGGAGGTTAGGAGAACTAGTTGGAACGTCTGTGTGTATGCAGGTCCAAATCTTGAGTGTGGACGTTACCACCCATTTCTGCCCCCTGGGCTTTCGTTCCCTGCCTCTGGCTGCCAGCCTCTGGTTTTTCTGCCATTAAAAAAAAGAATGTGTAATTTTTGCTGACACTAGTTCAAAACACTGTTAGACACTGCTAAATGAGTTTGCATTCAAAGATCAGAGCAGCCACCTTTGGGTCCTTAAATTTGATTTCTCATGAGTCTCACCAATCTTTGCCAAGCCAGAGGCTATAATCAGACACATTATCTACCAAAATGGGAGCTATGCTTGAAGTACAGCCATGTTAAAAGGCCCAGCACACAACATAATGCAATCCTTCAGCTCTAGCAACACAACTCACAACCAGGCTGAGTGGAAATGTCCTGGCATTTACCGCCCATAAGTGCTGTCAAAACAATGGCTGAGCAGAAGCTACATCCCCAGTTCTCTCGTTTCTCGCAAACTGCCTAGCACGGGACTGACAGAAGAGCGAGAGAGCGCGTTTGGAGCTGAAATTGAGTTTACCCGTGTATTATTTTAATTTCCTTTCTATCCTACATTGCATGGTGCTGTTTTTCCTCTCACTCTCCTTCCCTCCCTCTCGCTCTCTTTGTCAGTTTTTGAGTGTGTAAAAATATTTGCACCTAGTGTACTGCGAAACAGCAAAGCTGTCGTGTCCTGTGGTGTGGGCTCTCGGGGAGAGGCACACGACTAAGTGTGAAAACTCCAGGCCAAGTTTTTAATGAAGTCCAATAGGTGGTGCCATGTGAAGTGGCGAAACCACATCTCAGCAAACGTTTTCTCACTCTTGGGGAGAGAAGAGTGGCACCGATAGGCCACTGACTCCAAACAACCCTGCCGCCAATTAAAAAGGCAGACTAACGCACGGCTCAATCAGTCTTCGCGGGTTCCGTTCATCGTCCTTTAATTTCCGCAGCCATAGTTCTATGCTGACAGCTTGGCAAAGCAGCCCTCTTTCTCTTTTGAATATTCTGCAGGTGCTTTTTTCCCCCCACGTGGGCTGAGAAAAGAGATTTGATAAAAGGGCCTTGGTTACCTCTGTTGTAGGTATATTTCAGTGTAGCTTGATGTAAACATTGCATAGAAGTTCCATGATGAAATGTTTTAAAGCAAGGAACAACAGAGGAAAAAGGTTGTGGATTGAGAGAAAGGATATCCACCTTATTGTTCACCTTGCACTAGAGCTGCTGATTTGGACTAGAATTCTAATTGTCATTAATTTCTTGAAGTTTTAAATACGGTTAATTTGCATTGCATACTTTCTGTTTTGAACACTCCATTATAATAAACCAAGTTTTTTATGCTGCAGAATATATATTTATTTTACAGTGTCTACATTGTTGATTGCACTGAGAGCGTATTGTTGTTGCACCGATGGTGATACACTATCTACATTGCAAAGGAGTGACATTTATAGTAAATCCAAAAATGTTTTCAAGGCATTTTTAAGAGCGCATATCAGACATACTAGCCGCGTTTATATTGACAATTGAGCGACTTGAGAAAGCATTTATGCATGAGTTAATTTTGAATTGGTATGCAATGAATTTAAAAATAATCATTGTATGTGCACTGCCATATAAAAGTTTTTATTTTTATTTTTGAAAAGTCTCTTATTTTCAACATGCGTTTATTTAAAAAAATACACTAAACACACAGTAATATTGTTAAATATTATTACAATTTAAAATAACTGCTTATAGGGGTGTGCGATGTGTCACCATGATCTGCCTTTGAAGAGATATTTTTAGTATCATGCTACAACGCACATTCTATCAGTTGCAGTTCTGGCACCCCCGTCCCATCCAACTGCCTCAAGTGCAATGTAAATGTTTGTATAACTCAGTTTTAGCTATTTGAGTGTAAACTATTACATACGTTTGATTAATTAATTATTTATTTTTCAAGAGAAAATTCAGAATTTTTGGTTTTGGCCCAGAATTTTCATTTCGGTGCATCCCTGGTATCAGTATATTGGGTCCGTGCATAGGTCTTAAAGTGACAGCAGCCTAACACTGCTGCCTGTGTCATCATTAAGGTTAATCAAACAACAGAAGAATACAGAGAACATTACTCACTCTTGACCGAATAATTCAGTAGCTTTAAGAATCAATGTATATTTAATTAAT